GCTGAATAAATGAAAAAAGCAAGGTCTTTGAGTTAAAGTATATTTTCATGAAGATTTTAGTTTCAGGATGTTTGAGCCCAGAGATAAAGTCATGGGAAAAGGGTGATTGTGGTAAGATGCTTTTCTTTTGTTGTCTAACTAACTATAATTATAAAGTTAAAATATATTGTGGTAAAAATGCAAACAGTTAGAAGGATATAAAATAAAAATTAAAAGTCATCCTTCTCTTCACCACCAGTCCCACTCTTCTTTTATATACTTCCTGACCATTTCTATGCACATCCAAACATCTTTTCTAACCCACCTGAGATAATACTTTACACATGAACCTGCAATTTGCTTTTCCACCCCAAAGAATATCTAGGACATTTCAGGAACTCTTTCCTATGATTTGAAATAGTTGTATCACCTTCAAAGTACAATAACTTAATTGACCCATTGGTACAATATGTATACCTATGATCTGCCTCTTGGCATGTGCCCATGCTTTTTCCTCATTGTGGCCTCCTTGTCTATTGTCGCTATTTCAACTTCTATAATTTCAACTTTTATAGTTATCTTCCAATTGCCTAAAATTTTGTTAAGCCTGGTGTGGTTACTCACACCTAAACTGCAGCACTTTGGAAGGCTGAGGTGGGAGGACTGCTTGAGCCCAGAAGTGCAAGAGCAGCCTGAGCAACAACATAGTGAGACCTCGTCTCTACAAAAAAATTACAAAATTAGCCAGGTATAATGGTGTGCACCTGTAGTCTCTGCTACTTGGGAAGCTGAGGCAGAAGGATTGCCTGAGCCCAGGAGGTTGAGCTTGCTTACAGTAAGCCGTGATCATACCACTGCACTTCAGCCTGGGTGACAGAGTGAGACACTGACTCAAAAATAAATAAATAAATAAAAATAAAACAAAACTTTGTTACAAGCAGAACATCTATCATTTCATCTTTATTTATATCCCCAGTACCGGCAATGGTGCCTAATATATAGTAATATTAAAACTTGTTGAATGAATGACCACTGACTTTTCCAAAGATAAATAGCTACTAAGTGGCAGAAATGTCATTACACTTCTTAATCTAGCTCTTTCTACTGGACTATATGGTCTTGTTGAGTCTATCTTAAAAATGAATCAATACAACACCCTATCACCTACAAGCCATTTCCCTTGGTTTTTAGGTTTTCCATAATCTGGATCTATCCTCTCTCACCAATTCTATCCTCCTTGACTTCAAAATAAGGCCATCCCAATCCATAAATAATGCCACCTTCTCTGTCTTTACCACTAGTCTTGACTTACCTCATTAACTCATGGCTTAATCTGTTGCTCTCTTGTGGAATCCCCCTCCCAAGTCCTGTCACCTCAATTACAGTCATAATTTACCATGCAGCTTGTCTCAGAATCTTCTCTTCTCTAAATTCGTGCTGTAATTGTAGTGTATATAGTTTGTTACTAGTTATTCTCTGATTGTTTTATGTTTGTTAATATTTATTCTTCTGTAACTTTTTGTAGGTAGGAATTATATTTTAACAATAACAGCTACAATTTATTGTATTGTCACTCAATACAATTTATTGAGTGACTGTGATAGCTATTATTTGTTCAAAATATTCACTCTTCCTCTCTACCTAGCCCATCCAAATACTCATCTTTTTGAGATGAGTATGCTTCCTGCACCAGTGATATCAGGCTTGGCTATATGAGTAGCTTTAGAAAATACAACAAAAGCAAATGTGTCATATGCCACATCTGAATAAAATGCTAAGAGCCATCATGTGGTTCTATCATGCTTCTTTTCCCTCTGCCATGAAGCTGACAAGTCTGAGACAGGGGTGAACAGCTACCAGACATGGCTGAGTCCAGTCTGTGTCTTAAGGAAAAACAGTTGTAAAACAGGCCTACAATTGACCTGTAGCCAATGTGATAAGTAATGTGAGTGAAACTAAACCTTTGTCTTTGTAAGCCACTGAAATTTGGGGACTGTTACCCCAAAATAGTATAGCATAATCTAATACCCCCAAATAACTCTCATCTAGCTGCTATTTCCCCACCCTTACTTTTCCAATCTATATAATAATAACAGTAACAATTTAAGAAATCTCAAGAACTGAATACCACATGTTCTCCACTCATAAGTAGGTCCTGAACATTTATCATAATACTACAAGAGAGGGATTGGCAGTAGCATGATACTGTGGGCAGGGGAAGAGGGGGTAGGGGAGGGTGGAGGCACATAACATCACTAAGGGTACCTTATCCTAAACCAGTGGAAGTGAGAACCAGTGGGAGGTCCAAACTTCACCTGTATGTAGACCACTTATGTATCTCTAATCCTGACTTGTACCCCAAATCTTTAAAATAAAATGAACAGGAAAAAAAAAAAAAGAAATCTCAAGAAGTTACTTGGGAAGTTCTACGGCTTTCCCTACCCCACATCAAAGTAGGACTGGGAGCATTCAAGAAAATCAACCATAAATATTGAGATTACTTGTAGTAAGAGAAGACTGGCATTTCATTCCTCATTTGGGTAATCAGTTAAACATGCTGTTCTCAAATTTTAGCATGCAATAGAATCACCTGAATGGCAATTAAAACACAGATCATAAGGTCCTAATAGGCCCCCAAATTTTACATTTCTAACAAATTTCCAAGTAACAATAATGCTGGTGATCTAGGAACCAGGTTTTGAGAACTGCTGGGTTAAGCAATCAATAGTTGATCTGCCCTCATAATTTGAGAGAACTCATGAAAAGGGGTTAACAGTAGAATAGCTTAAAAAACAGTAGACTCGGTGGCTCAGTCTGTAATCCAGCACTTTGGGAGTCTGAGGCGAGTGGATTGCCTAAGCCGGCAGGTTAGAGACCAGTCCGGGCAACTTGGCGAGACCTTGTCTCTACAATAAATTAAAAAATTAGGTGGGGCGTGGGGGCGTGCGCCTGTAGTTCCGGCTACTTGGAAGGCTGAGGCAGAAGGACCATTGACGCCCAGCAGGTCGACACTAGGGTGGCCATGAGTGTGCCACTGCACTTCAGCCTGGGTGACAGAGTGAGACTCCAATTAAAAACAAAAAACAAAAAAAAACCAGTAGAATAGCTTAAAAAAAAAAAAAAAGCTTTGGCACAGCAAAGATGCACTAATTTCCAAAATTTAGACACCATAGAAGATGGCTTGGGACATCTTCCTGGTATACCACGCAAGAGGACTGTCTGAAAACAAAAAGATTCCACAGAAGGAGATTTTAGGCCATACCACTAGAGGTGGATGCTGAAAAAGGTTGAAAGAACCAGAACTGGAATTTACTCTCTCACAGCAAGAAACTGCAATGGGGAGTTTCCTTGAGGTTCTCCCAAAAGTTAATATTCACGATCTTATAATAGAACTACCATTTGGATACTGCCAACGTTAACCGTCCACCCACCCCCAAAAAAACCCTGCAACTATCAACAGTGAGGGAACTATAACAGTACCAATAAAGATGAGAGACATTTAACTCTTTCCATCTTCTTCCTTAGCATACTAACATATAGGAGAGCTAGAGATCCAGAAGAGAGGGGGAAGAGAAGTTTTGTAGGGTTTTTTTGTTTTGTTTTTGAGTCGGAGTCTCCTTCCGTCCTCAGGCTGGAGTGCAGTGGCACACTCCCGGCCACCGCAGCCTCGACCTGAGGGCTCCGGTGAGCCTTCTGCCTTAGCCTTCCAAGGAGCCAGAACTACAAGCATACACTACCACACTCAACTAATTTTTTATTTATTGTAGAGATTAGGTCTCGTCAAATTGCCCGGGCTGGTCTCGAACCCACGGGCCTAGGCAATCCACTCACCTCCACCTCCCAAAGTGCTGGGATTACAGGTTGAGCCAGAAGCCCGGCCAGAAGTTTTTTAAAAATGTCCCCTCCTAAAGAAGTCTGAGCCACTGGCTCTGGAGAAAAGGGAAAGGAAGAACTTTAAATTGAATATAATATTGGAGTTTTAAATTAGACCAGAATGAATTTTTTTAATGCCCCAAAGCACACAAAAAGTTATGAATTCTGAAATCCACCTAGAAAGAGGAACTTGGCAAAACATGACTAAAGAACGTGTTTGTAGGAAAATAAATCCATGTCATATTTGTACACTTTTAAGAATGGGGAGGAAGCATATGCTTATCTACCACATCAGCACCCTTGTTTTCCTGATTGCATGCACATCTTTTATAATCTCTTGAACTTACTTTTTAGTTTTATTTAGGAAAGTTTTTTCCTACCTATGAAAAAGACTAAATTAAATGGCAATAAGATTCTGTATTCACTTACTCACTTTGGAAGGGAAAAAAATCTGAAGACTTGACTCTTCTTTAGAACAGAATTTAAAATGATGTACCCTCTTCCTTTCTCAGTATCAGCTCTTGCATTTTATCTCTACTTTTTCTACTATCTCTAAGTTTTCCCCCATTATCACTTCATTTTTCAATACTGGAAAAGATGGTACTTATCTAGTATTAACCCTCCAGGATTTTTTTACATCTATCTAACTGAACTACAGTATTTTTCACTGATTTAATGTCCTCTTCCAGAACAGAAGAAAGCAATACCACTTGGAAGCCATTTATATTAAGCCAGATTTCAACTCACAAAAGAACTTGAAATGACCTGATATTGTGGTCTTTTATAGACTTCACACCAGATGCTTTCCATTTTATAGACTCCCCCAAAACTTTACTTTCTTACTGCATTTCTATACCTCTGTGTGTCCAGTGATCGCATATAGCAAGCAGAACTACAGAACACTATAGATTTACATTTTCTGGTTACTAATTTAGGTTTACAAACTGTGGTTTGTCTCATTTGGGAGAAAACTATTTTCTTCAGCTATCTTCCTAAAATACAATTATCAGGATAATCTCTGCAGGCAAATTGCAGGAGTACAATAGGTTAGACCTAGGTAAGGGGAATAGAACCAGAAGCTAAATTCTAATTTTTTTTTCTTTACAAACCACATAACATACATTTATCTTAAAATATAGACTATTACGCATGATAAATAAAATGATACATTAAGAATTCAAACATCTTAGGCAAGACTTGACTTCTGAGCTTCAGAAAGATGTGGGAACTTCTCTTGAAGAAATTTTTCTTTCTTTTTCTCTAAACTTTTCTTTCTCACTGTAACGTGGGCTTGTTTCTCATGTCTCAGTCTGACAAAACGGTCCACATAAGGCATTGCAAAGAATCGTTTCCTGTTGCATCTTTTATTCAGGTACCAAGGTATAAGCCACTGCTTGAACTTGTGCCAAATGATTCTTCCAAAAATGTCTCTTCTCCAAGCCCCAGGTCTAACTTTTTCTTGACCAGTCTGAAGAAGCCTTAGGGCATCTTCTCTTTCCTGAACAACTTTATCTAATGCATCAATGGACTCTATTACCTTCTCCAACCGCTCTGGACTTGGCATTGGTAACCTCTGCCGCTTGGCCTCCTGTTCCAGGGTTAGCAGCATATTTCTCTCTTTTAGCAGGATATACCAAAGTTTATGTAAGTCTTCGTTACTTTTGTTCCTTAATTGCTGACAAGTCCATGCTGCTCCAGATTTTACTTTTTCTTCCCCCAATTCTTTGGGTCATCAAAAAATTCTTCCAGTCCTTTCCTTGACAATGTAGTATGAAGTAACCTACACTGCTGAAGGGATGTGACACTGGGTGTATTCTCAGGCAACAAACTAAGAGAAAACCTGCAACTTGAGCCGGCAGGGACCTGAGGCGTTAGTAACGACCTGGAAACCTTAAGGGTGGTTGAGACTCTTCTACAAAGACCGGCCAAACCGGCCGCGGCCATTATTTCACATTAAATTCTAATTGTTAAAAAATCTAAATTTCAGTTAGGTATGGTGGCTCACACCTGTAATCCCAGCACTTTGGGAGGCTAAGGTGAGAGGCTTGCTTCAGCCCAGGAGTTCAAGACCAGCCTAGGCAACTTAGCGAAAACTTATCTCTACAAAAATTTTTTTAAAAATTAGCTGGGTGTGGTGGTGCACCCTGTAGTACCAGATACCTGGGAGGCTGAGGCAGAAGGACTGCTTGAGCCCAGGAGATCAAGGCTTCAGTGAACCATGATTGTGCCACTGCACTCCAGCCTAGGTGACAGAGTGAGACCCTGACTCAAGAATGAATGAATAAATAAATAAATCTAAATTCCACAAACTGTCAATTCTCCAACTTAATAATATGTACAAAAATATCTTATCCTGATTATATTTATCAGGGTTAGATTAGCTACAAGTCCTACATAATAATAATAGTGGTTTAACTAAGAGAGAAGTTTAATTTTCTCTAGTATTAACAAAATTTAGCTCTCATGGATTCAAGGTTGATATAACATCTCAACTATTATCAGAAACTGATTCTCCTATCTTACTCCCACCCCATCCTCCAATCACAGCTTTCAAACACAGACCAAGACAGCTGCTAAGTTCCAGTCATCATATTCACATTCCAGCCAACAGGATGGAGAAAGGAAGAAAAGCACATCTCTCCCTTTAAACATATGCCCTATTAATTGTATTTGACATTTCTGTTTACATTCCACTGGCCAGAATCCCCTTTTTATGAATATATCCTGGCTGCAAGATTGGGAAATGTAGTCTTTATTTTTTTGTGTGTTTGTTTTGTTTTATTTTGTTTTTGTTTTTGAGTTTGAGTCTCACTCTGTCGCCCAGGCGGGAGTGCCACTGCAGTGCCATGCTCCCAGTCACTACTGCCTGGACCTAGTAGGCTCCAGCGATCCTTCCCCTCAGCCTCCGAAGTAGCCAGAACTACAGGTGCGCACTACCATGCCCAGCTAATTTTTTATTTATTGTAGAGATGAAGTCTCACCAAGTTGCCCGGGCTGGTCTCAAACCCACAGGTTCAGACAATCCACTCACCTCGGCCTCCCAAAGTATTGGGATTACAGACTGAGCCACCGAGCCTGGCCAGAAATGTAGTCTTTATTCAGGGTGGCCACAAATCCAGTTAATAATTACTGAGTTTAATTCTAAGAAAGGAAGAAAAATGAATATTGGGGAACAGCTAGCAATTTCTGCCACAGTGATGATTACATTTCATTGTTTCTGAGCACCAGGACTTCACTTATTACCTCAAGCAGATCATTTCACATTTTCTCACAAAAAGTCTCCTAATTCTTGGCATGAAGAGTATCAACCAGAAAAAATGCGAGAAAATAAAAGATTATACTGAGAATTACTAGAAATTCTCAAAATAAAGACAGAAGTAAATGTACTAAGGATTTTAGGTAGAATTTGAGCAATCAAATTTGAGAATTTGATTAGATGCTGTTTGCTCTTTGCCCTTGAGATCAACCCTCTGTGTTACAGATACAGATAGCAAAAAATTATTCCACATAGCATTAATACTATATAAGGTTTGATATACCAACAAAAGTAATAAATCTAAAGGAATCATACAGAGTACCAAGAATGTGAAATGTGATTTGGCACAAAGACTAGCAAAGAGTAGCACAGTGTGTGATTAATCCTGCATGACCACATTTACATCTCTAATTTGCTCATATAAATGCATTAAGCCAGATGGTTTTAGAGACTAGCACTCACATATACTTGTGGGTCAGCACCCACATCTTCTGTACTTTCATGGATGCCCAGACTTAGGTAGTACCCACCTTTCTCTCTTCACCACTTTGCTAGCCAAAACCCCTTTATTCTTATTTTTCTCTCACTTCTCATAATCAACATTCTCACATCACACACACACACACACACACACACACACACACACACACATACCCCTATGCCAATGCCTATTATGACTTTGCTGAAGAATATATTAGGAAGATGTGAAAAAGCAACTATTACTTTAACTTAGAACATATTAGGAAGATAATTTTGAAAATGAGCATTTTATTCTATTTGTGAAAAATCAGCAACTCCTATCCAAAAATGGGAGACATATACTTTGCTAGTTTAAAACCTATTCCATGTATTAAAGAATAATCCACACTAATAACTGGAATTCTAGAAAATTCAATACAATTATATACCAAGGCTCTTATTTGTTAAATTTTAAAACTGATATTTAATTATTACAATAATTCTGTATTTATTGATCTGTTGGCATCTAATTCCAACCAGACACATCATGTGAGTCAATTCAGTGAGGCAGCTGGGGTAGCAATTTGTTTCCAGACTAACAATATTCGGTTGAATATGGTCATTTTCTTCTATCTCAAGTGCTATCAATAATAGATCCTCAATTAGTCTTCTGTATGGAATTGTAACATTAGAAATTGTACATGACAATTTAAAATTAAGACATGCCTCAAGCATTAATAAACTTAGAATTTTTTGTTCTATCAGAAAAATAAAACAAGTATGAACGATCCCAGAAGAGATTTGTTTACTTCAGAAAAATAAAGTACAAAGTAAAAGTGCTCTGGAAATATGATCCTATGTTCAAAAGGAAAACATCCTCAAAGAATGTGAGCATGATGAATGAAAGAATAGGGGCAACTGACAAAATCCTCACTGAGAAGAGGCTGAATGGATCCCCACAGCAAGCAAGTGAGTCTCCAAATCGTGGGAGCACGAAAGGAGAGTGTCTTCCAGTTCACAATGCAACTGGGAGAGGCTCAGATCTTCAGTCCCAAGACCCACAGATTCTATTGAAGCTATTTAAATCAACAATCTGAGAAGAAACAATAGTAAAGATACACGCAAATCTCCTTTTTTACATGTCCTGTCTCTTTTCTAAACTCAGATTATCATTTCTTGTGTCTTCTCCTTTTTCATACATATGAGTTCATCTCTTATAATGTTATCTTGTTGACCATAATTACAAATTGGCTTTCATTTGGTTTCAAGAGCAAAGGGATAATAATCAGTGTCTACCATTTCTTTTTACATTTACCCTGCATGGCACAACCAAAACACTCTAATTATGATGTTCAAGAGCATGTATTTATTCTGTCTCTAGTTATGGCTAAATTAAGAACCTCAATTAAAGACCCCTACTCATCCTTTTTTCTCTGAGAACTGCACTCAACAGGATTGAGACGTCTGAAGTCATGTTTGTTCTGCATGAACCTGTCCCCTGGTCTAAGAAACTGGACCACTGCTGTCCCCTAGGCTGGAATGCAGTGGCACAACCATGGCTTACTGCAGCCTTGACTTCAGCCTTGTCTGAGCTTGGGCTCAGACCATCCTTCTACCTCAGCCTCCCAAGTAGCTGAGACTACAGGCACACACCACTATGCCCAGCTAATTTTTAAATTTTTTTATAGAGACAAAGTCTCACTATGTTGCCTAGGCTGGTCTTAAACTCCTGGGTTCAAGCAATCCTCCCACCTTGACCTCCCAAAGTGCTAGGATTACAGGTGTGTGCCACCATGTCTGGCCAAGAAAGCTGGTCTTTAAAAAAGAATCACGAAGAACTGCAGAAAGAGGAACAGTGATAAGAGACTATGGTAAAAATAAATAATGCCCCCCAAAGATATCCAAATCCCAATCGCTGGAATCTGTGAATGTTGCCTTATATGGCAAAAGGTACTCTGTACATGTGATCAAATTAAAGATCATAAAATAGGAAGAATATTATGGATTATATAGGCAGGCCCTAAATACAATCGTAGTGCCTTTAGAAGAGGGAGATTTTACAATAAAAGGAGGCAATGTGCCAACTCAAGCAAGATGCCATTCTGCTTTAAAAATGGAGGAAAAGGGCCAGGCATGGTGCCTCGAGTCTGTAATCCCAGCACTTTGGAAGGCCGAGGAGAAAGAATTGTCTGAGCCCGCGGGTTGAAGACCAGCCTGGGCAACATGGTGAGATCTAGTCTCTACAATAAATCAAAAAAGTAGCTACTTGGTGGGCTGAGGCGGAAGGATCGTCGGAGTCCAGCAGGTCTACACTGGGGTGGCTGTGGGTGTGCCACTGCATTCCAGCCTGGGCAATGGAGTAAGATTCCAAGTTAAAAAAATGGAGGAAGAGGACATGCGTTAAGAAATGCAAGAAGGCCGGGCTCAGTGGCTCAGCCTGTAATCCCATGCCTTTGGGAGGCTGAGGTGAGTGTATTGCCTGAGCCCGCGGGTTCGAGACCCGCCTGGACAGACGAGACCTCGTCTCTACAATAAAATCAAAAAATCAGCCGGGCGTGGTAACGCGCGCCTGTAATTCCGGCTACTAGGAAGGCTGAGGCGGAAGGATCACCGGAGCCCAGCGGGTCGAGGCTGCGGTGGCCGGGAGCGGCCACTGCACTCCAGTCTGGGTGACAGAGTGAGACTCCAACTCAAAAATAAAATGAAATGAAGTGAAATGAAATAAAATGAAATGAAATGAAATAAAATAAAATAAAAATAGCCGGGCGTGGTTGCGCGCGTCTGCAGTTCCGGCCACTTGGAAGGCTGAGGCGGAAGGACCGCTGGAGCCCAGCAGGTCGAGCCAGCGGTGGGCAGGAACGTGCCACCGCACTCCAGTCTAGGTGACAGAGTGAGATTCCAACTCAAAAAAAAAAAAAAAAAAGAAAATTGCAAGAAAGGTGCTCTAACAAAAGGAAATGGCAAGGAAACAGATACTCCCCCACAGCCTCTAGAGGGAATGCAGCCTGACAAGATCCCTTGATTTGAACTCATTAAATAACTGACTTTGGGGTTATGAACCTTCAGAGCTTAGCTTTCTTTTAAATACACACACACACACAGCCGGGCTCGGTGGCTCAGCCTGTAATCCCGCGCCTTTGGGAGGCTGAGGTG